ATTTTCTTACCACACAGAATTAAATTAGAAGTCAGTAAAAGAAAGAAATATATAAATCCCCAAATGTGTGAGAGTTAAGCAGCACACTTCTAAATAACTTATGTATCAAAGCAGAAATCACATGGAAATCAGAAAACACATAAACTGAGTAAAAATGAAAACACAGCATAGCAAAATTGTGAAATGCCCCTAAAATAGTTCTTGGAGAGATACAGCTTCAAATGCTTATATTTAAACAGAGGAAAGGTCTAAAATCATTTTTTTTTTTTTTTTTTTTTTTGGCGGCCCGCCCGCCTCTCACTGTTGTGGCCTCTCCCGTTGCGGAGCACAGGCTCTGGACGCGCAGGCTCAGTGGCCATGGCTCATGGGCCCAGCCGCTCCGCGGCACATGGGATCTTCCCGGACCGGGGCACGAACCTGTGTCCCCTGCATCGGCAGGCGGACTCTCAACCACTGCGCCACCAGGGAAGCCCAGGTCTAAAATCGTTTATCTAAATTGTTACTTTATGAAACTAGAATAAGAGTAAATTAAACCCAAAACAAGTAAAAGAAAGGAAATTACAAAAATCAGAGCAGAAGTCAATGGATAGTAATGGAGAAACAGTAGAGAAGATCAATTAGTTCAAAATCTGGTTCTTTGCAAAGATCAATAAAATGGATACACCTAAATGTCAGGAGCTCAGCTGAGCTGGGAGAGAGAGAACTGAGCTGCTAGGTACTGGAGTGGCTGATTAAAGCAGGAAGCCACAAATGAAAGAGTTAAACCTTTAATCACTTACTGTGATAGTATAATCAAGAGGCTAAAATCAGAGAAAATGCTGATTCCCCGTTCCATCACCTTCATAGAATGAAATGGTGTACCGGTTAAGGATCAGGTGGATCAGCACAGATGTGGGAATCTGTTAAGGGAGCCGCAAACAAGGTTCTTGCAGTGTTATGAACTCTGAGGTGGAGAGGGGGGTGAAGGGGTAGGGATAGGAGGGGAAAAGTCCTGGGTACTGAGTCAGAGTGGGGAAAAGTTTCTTAAAGGTTTCAGCTTTTTCCCTTCATAAGCTGGCCTTGGCAGAAGTGTCAAAGTGACCCGTGCCCAAGGCCTCAGATAGAGGGGCCTAGGAATAAAGGCGCCAGGCCTGGGAATGTAAATGTGTGAAAGAGCATGACTGGCCAGGTGGCCTGAGACCATGATTGCAGATCCCTTCAGAGACTGCAGTGCACTGACTGTGTGCCAAGTCTGGTGGAGGGAGGACAGTTTTCACCATGAGACCTGCAAAGTAAAACCTTTGTAATTATCTGTGGTTAGACCTGAAAAAACACATATAGGTTTTTTGTTGTTTTTTTTTTAGTGGTACACAGGTCTCACTGTTGCGGCCTCTCCCGTTGCAGAGCACAGGCTCTGGATGCGCAGGCTCAGCGGCCATGGCTCACGGGCCCAACCGCTCCGCGGCATGTGGGATCTTCCCGGACTGGGGCAAGAACCCGTGTCCCCTGCATCAGCAGGCGGACTCTCAACCACTGCACCACCAGGGAAGCACACATAGGTTTTTAACCAGGAACCAGACTCCTCACTAGATTGATATGGAAAAAAAAAAAAAGGGAGAGAGAGAAGATACAAATTACCAATATCAGGAATGAAGGAGGAAACATTCCTACAGAACCATAAGAGAATATTATGAATAACATTTGCAAACAAATTTGATAACATCGATAAAATGAACAAATTCTTTGAAAGATACAAATTACTAAAACTGACTCAAGAAGAAATAGAAAATTTTGAATAGATCTGTATTGAGTAAGGAAATTGATTTAGTTATTAAACTTCTACAATTATTATCCTGCCAAAAAATGAGATCAACAACTTTATAACAACAAAGATAACATCATGATGAATTCTATGAAAAATTTAAGGAAGAAATTTTATCAATATTATATAAACTCTTAGCAAACAGAGGAAGAAGGGACACTGCATACTTATTTTATGAGGCCAGTTTTACCAATACCCAATCCAGGCATCATGAGAAAAGAAAAGTACAAACCCATATCTCTCATGAACACAGAAGCAAAAGCCTTAATAAAATATTACCAGTAAAAAGGATAATACACCATGATCAAATGGGTTTATCCTAGGAATGCACATTGGCTCAACAACAATAAAAGATCAATAAACTTAATTCACCATATTAATAGAATACATTTTTTAAAAGCATATGATCATCTCAGTAGCCATTTGACAAAATCTAACACCCTTTCATGGTTAAAAAAAAAAAAACAACAACAAAAACACCAAGAAAAGGAATAGAAGGGAAAGTCTGATAAAGGGCACCTATGAGAAACCCATAGCTAATATCATATTTAAAAGTGAAAGGTAGAAAGCTTGCCCACAAAGATAAGAAATAAGACAAGGATGTCTGCCCTCTTCCTGTCTTTTAAGCACTATATTGGAGGTTCTAGAAAGAGCAGTTAGGCAAGAAAAAGAAATAAAAGGCATCCAGATTGGAAAGGAAGAGGGAAAACAATCTCTGTTTGCAAATTAGATGATCTTGTTTGTGGAAAATTGTAAGGAATCTCTAAAAAGCTATTAGAGCTAATAAACAAGTTTAGCAAGGTTGTAGGATACACGATAAATGTACAAAAAAAGTCAGTTGTGTTTCTGTGCATTAGCAATGAGCAGTCTGAAAATGAAATTAAGAAAATAGGGTGATGGAAGTATTCTGGAATTAGATAGTGGGTGATGGTTGCACAATTTTGTGAATATACTAAAACTCACTAAATTGTACATTTTAAAAGGATGTATTTTATGGTATACAAATTATATCAAAAAATATATTGAGAAATTATTGTATCCAGAATATATCAGGAACTCAATAATAAAAAAGCAAAAGACACAAAGTGAGCAAAAAACTGAATAGGGCACACTTCTCATCAGAATGTATATGAATGACCAACAATACATGAAAAGGTGTTCAACATCATTATTGATTAGAGTACAAATTAATGTTACAAGTGTTGGTGAGGATCTGGAGTACCTGACACTCTTCAGTCATTTGCTGGTGGGAATGCAAAATGGTATAGTCAAACTTGGAAGAAGTTTGACAGCTTCTTTAAAAAGTTAAGCATACTTACAGTACAACCCCAAAATAAATAGGTGTCTACCAAAATAAATGAAAACTTATGTCCACATAAAGACTTTTATATGAATGTTCATAGCAGACTAATTTGTAGTAGTTAAAAACTGGCAACAACCCAGAATTCCATCAACAAGCAAATGCATGAACAAAATGTGGTGTATTCATTCAGCGGAATACTACTCAGCATTAAAAAGGAATGGACTGCTGTTACACGCAATAACACGAGTGAATCTAAAAATACTGCGCTAAGTGAAAGAGGCCAGGTACAAAGGACTACATACTGTATGATTCCATTTATATGGAAATTTAAAAAATCCCCAAACTATAATGGCAGATTATAGTTGGCAGAAAGCAGATAAGAGGCAGATTGTAATGGCAGAAAGCAGATAAGTGGTTGTTTGGGGCCAGGAGTAGGGGCTGGAATTGATTGCAGAAGAGCACCAAGGAACTTTTTCAGGGGATGGAATTGTTCTAAAATTTTATTGTAGCAGTGGGTGCATGAGTATACATTTTCCAAAATTCATCAGACTTCACTTAAAGTGGGTGAATTTTATGGTATGTAAATTATACCTCAGTAAAGTTAGTTTTTAACATGCCTTATTAATGTATCTATACAAATGGGGGATTTGTGGCCTCATTTCTAGTGATTTAAAAAATTAGCATCTTTTTCAGCCTGCGTATCATTTTACTTTTTCATCTTTATTTCTTTTTTTATTTTGGCTGTGCTGCACAGCTTGTGGGATCTTAGTACCCCAACCAGGGATTGAACCTGGGTCCCAGCAGTGAAAGTGCCAGAGACCTAACCTCTGGACCGTCAGGGAGTTCCCCTTTATTTCTTCTTTATAGCGTATTTCAGAATTTTGTACTTAATCCACACAATTAGTTGTTTTGCAAACAGATGTTTGTTGAATGTCTGCTATGTGCTAAGCACCGGGAGGACAGAGCCCCTACTCCCAGGGACTACTCCCACAGTCTTAGAGGACAGGCTAATTTGTTTTTAAAGTAGAAAGTATAAATGTAAGAACTGAAGTGTTTACACAGTATAGACGTACTAATTTTATCTCAGTGGAACTAGGTAGTCTAAGGTGTCATTAAGTGGGGTCAGGAAAGGCTTCCCTGAGGAGCTGGAATTTGAAGGATGTTAGGAATTAATTGATCCAGTGGGCAGGGGAAAGTAGACTAACTTGCCTCCTAAATGGATTTTCAGTTAAATAAAGAGGGGTGGGGGGTATATTTTGGTGTTTACAAGACTAACAAACTCCTTTAAAAATCAACTTTCAAGATATGAGTCCTTGGATCATTGATTCCACTGGTTCTGTTATTACTGAGTAGAGCTTCAGATTACCTGGCAGTTAGAGCTCTCAAGTTTTTAAAAACTCCACCCTCTTTTTAAAACTGACTTTGTTTCACACTCATTCAGGGTCTAGGCAAATGATTTAGCACTGTCTGTTGTGAATTCCATGTTTTCGCTATTGTTCTTTATCCACACTGACAGTCTATGTCTTTTTAACCAAAAGTCACTTTCCCTTTGCCCCAAATTAACATTTGCTTTCATAGAGTAGCTAGGTGCTATAGGCTAGATTCATCAGATATGTGAAAACACTATTTTTAAAATAAATGTATAAATGAAGCAGATGCTATGGCACTTGGAAGTTAAATTTCAAAGAGAAACATTCTGGGAATATTGGATATAACAGCTCGGAACCTTTTCTCTCTTCTTTGCTTCTCTTACTCCCCTCACTTTATTTAGTTGACTCAGTTAAGAAAGTTTTCTTACTATCCAGAAGTAGTTGATGAGAATGACACTTTAAATATCTATAATGGGAAATGTTCATGATGAAATGTCTTGAGAATTTTATATTTCATATCTAAAAGGAAGAAGAAGAGTTTTCAGTTCTTTCCAGCTGCCTGGGACTTCTGCCAACATTTTACCAAACAGAACATCCATTCATCAGTGCCTCCTGTCTGGATTGGCCAGTTCCAGCATTTGATATTCTATCTCAGTGGTGTTTTGAGATAAATTCATTTACTGAAAGACATGCCGAACAAGGAAAGGTATGTAAAAAGAGTAATACTCACTTGCTATAGTGGTGACATGCTAATAGGTAAGAGAAGAATGAAGAATTTAAAATTTCAGGTAATCTAGTCTTGGCAGTATTTATTAAACTAATTATTTTGAAAAAATGGTTTACTTTATTTATGAGTGTAAAAGCAGAAATGTTTCAGTTAACAAAACTAAGGTATAGTATGTTACTTTTAGTTTGTTTTCGGTCATCAGGTTTTTATTGAATACCTTAAATAGTCATAGCACTATATTTGGAAGGGACAAAGGAATTTTAAGATAGACAAGGAACTTGTAAGCTTATTGGAAAGAGGACTGTCACATAAAAATTAAAGATTTGGACTTGCACATCTAAAACATCATGTCTTTAACTATAAAATTTGCTGACTCTATGCTGCCAGCTCCATGGGTAAAGGTGTTGTGTTGGAGATGAGGGAATTGGAAAGGTGGAGTGCAGGCAGTGGTGGGTGGCTCTTAGTGCCATGGTTTGGTGCTCAGACTTTCTTCTGTATAGAATTACAGTTTTTGAGAAATGGAATAATATGATGAAAGTAGTGTTTTAGGGAGGTAATTTTTGTGGCTTTTTTAGTAAGTAAAATTGATGTTATGGAGAAAGGGAAACCAGAGATTATTTAGTGGTGAAGAAAATCTGGATTATTGTTTTGATAGCCAGCAGAAATTAGACAGAATGTAACCAATGCAAGAGACACATTTGAGAAAAATATATAGTCCTTGGTGACCAAGTGTACATGACTTTAAAATCTTGAACTCAAGTCATCAGAAGAGTAGTAACTAGTATACATAGTTCTGATAGGAACCTGCTCCTGCTTAAAAACCACTGACGATGGATGTCCCATTGGCTATGGAGAAAGACAGGAATCTTTACATGGCATTCACCATCTTGCTTGCCTTTCTAACTTCATTTCATACCACTTCCCAGCCACCACCTTGCTTAAACCATGAAAGAATATTTCTTAAGTATGCTGTGCATTTTTTAAACATCTGTGCTATTGCTTATTGCTGTTACTTTTATTTAAAGCAATCTTCCTACTGTTTTCCTGTTAATCACCCATGAAGGCTTTGCTAAGATAAATGTTACCTCTTCTATAAAGCTTTATCTGAGAGTCCATCTCCCTCTATTATGTATGATAGTACTTTTGCCACTGTTTCTTAGAGTTGCCATGTTTATCACTTTTGTTTGTTTAATGTGTCTGAATGGGGACTCCACAAGGCAAAAATTGTTTCTTGTTTATTCTTGAATCCCTAGTTCCTGGAAAGTGCCTGATATAGACTAGTCACCTAATAAATATTTGTGAAACAATTAAATGGTGGATTAATGTCATTGGGAGAAATAGAACTGATGAAAGGGGAACCGATTTCAGGAAAAACGAGAATTTTAATTTAATGTCAAAGGAACAATAGAAAAATTAGTATTTCAGATGGAGGTTGTCACTAGACTTAATTCTTAAAACATTGAAGTGAATAACAAAGGCAAGGTAAGCATACATAATAAATGTCTCTGCTTTTGTTCATTTTCATTTTCTATTGAAATCCTTAAAGAGATATTATCTCATTTTATACTTTTTTTAAAAGGAAAGGAAAATTGAAGAAGTTAATTGAACCTTGTATATTATGTATAAAAATATTTTCCTATCTAGTAATTGCTTTATTCACAATTATAGCTATAATCTGAAGTTATATTTTGATGTCTGAAAACCTATGAGGAATGTCTTGGAGTAAGAGTTGGGTATTATTGTAGAACCAGGACAGGAGAAAAAGTGATGAGCATACTTAAAATTATTTTATCTTCATATGTGCCATGGGATAAGCAATAGATAAAAACGAAATCACTTGATAGTATAAGAATAAACCTACCTTTTTAGATGAATGATTATTGTTGTGAATATTGATAGAAAATAAGAATTTACCATTTAAATATATTTCATCTTTTTGTAAAATTGAGTGATAACTATTTGTTTTAGAGTCAGAACAGTAGATATTTATTTATTTATTTATACTTATGCAGAATTTTTATGTTATTTGAATGCACCCCTATCTGACCTGCATCCCTACACTTGTCCCTTCACTCTCTTCTATCTCTAACCTCAACTCTGTCCATTTGTCAACCAGATTTCTTTTTAACCAGCAACTTTAAATTTGAACAGAGAGACTTAGATAAATATAAACAGTGATTGGAGCTGAATAGTGCAACAGCTTCCCTTGAAAGATAGTCTGAATTACTGCTTCTCCTTTCTTGTAACAGCTAAGATTCTTTGATTGCAAACAGTTTGGTTGCAAACCTCTGGTCTGTTTTCTCTGAAGCGCTACTGCTAGATGACTCCATCTCAGCCACTTTCCTTCCCTATATATATGCTCCAAATTCAGATTCCTGGGAGAGAGGATCTGACTGGCCTAATTTGCATCATATGTATACCCCTGTGATGGGGCAGGATCTTGTGATGGGGCAACCCCATCAGATCTGTATGGAGCAGGAAAAGAGGTTATTTTCCAAAATAAGTCATAATGCTGTCAATGTAGGAAGGCAGATGAGGTTGCTAGACAAATTGGAAAAAACGAACACTGGTGGCCCGCTACCTTCACATCTTACCTCCCCAGCACATAGACATCCTTCTTCTCATTCACAGAGTTTCATTTCTTCCCCTGTTTAAAATGATGTAACTGTTCCCTTTACAGCCACAGATGCAGCCGCCATTTCCCAAATACCTAACCTGAAGTCATCTCCTATAGTTATATCATCAAGCTTCCCTGAATCCAGAGGCTCTGGGAGATGTCCATTCCTTCTGTGGTTTATTGTTCTTATACCCCAACGGCCTGGAAATTTTTAATTAGCACCTACTCACCCTGAATTCAGTAGTAGGAGAAAGGAAAAGAGAATGAAAAATATTACAAAAATATATGCCAAAACAAGCAAGAAAATTTTAAATTAGTCATAAAACTGTAGCTAATATACAGTCAAATATATGACTTTCTTCTTTCACCTTCTTTGACCAGCACCTCAACTGGTTGGATTTATTTGAACAAAGATGTGATCCAAACTTTATTCTGAAAGGTGTGAGCTCAGTGATTTGTCCTGTCATGCTTATATAAGACTGTACTAGTTTTGTGTGAAATGTTTACCTTTCAAGCCTGAACACGCTAAGGGTGGGGGTGAGATGTATCTCTAAGTTTCAAACATACTGATACCGGAAGTATTTCTATTTCATTTGATGAGGTCATTCCCTCCAGACAATACTGTAAGCCATTCCCTTTCTTTTCCGAGTGGTATTAGGGAACCTAGAGTGGTCAGATGACATTTAGTTTTTAATTCAGTGGAACTATTATTATGTCCCTTGTTGGCAGATGGCACACAGCCTCCTTACAATAGTACTGAAACCACAGAAGAATCCAGAATAGCAGGGAAACAGAAATTAAAGACCGAATTTTTAGGTCTAATTATGAGAGATGCCACTCTCTGGTTCCCAAACCTGTGCACTCCATCTGTAAGAGAACAATCAATCACCCTTATGTACTAGTTGCTTTTTTAGGTCGTATACCTCATTCTGTAGGAGCATATACCTCATTCAATAGGTGTTTCCTTCTAGTTGGTACCATCTAAAAATTCATCAGCAAAGTAGTTCATCATTTAAAAGACCAGTGATTTTTTTCAGATGATTGACTATATGTTAAGATCAGTTAATTCCATAGACATCCACCTATTGTGTTACATCTTTCTTTATGAAGAAAATTCTTTGATTAGAGACCATGTGGTGTGTGCTACTGGGTAATTTACAACCTAATCTGGATAAGTATCAAGTTCAATGAGGACAAATTGCTGTTCCTTCCACTGATGGAAGGTTTCCATATATAATGAACCCGTTACAGAATATGCAGTCTTTGGAGTCCGGAGTTGGGCACTGAATACTGGCAAACAGCATATTGTAAGCCCATATATTGTCCTTATCCTTGCTTCCATGGCTTCTTTATCCATGAACATATTGATAAACACTAAGCTGGATACTTAGTTATTAGACTGATTTAGATGTATTATGGCTATAAGTAATGTTAGATGATCACCATGTGAATTGCCAGCCTCCATACTGTTTCTTAAGATAATAGATTCATACTATATTTTATCTGATTTAAGTGTTAATGAAGTAGCATCTAGAAAAAAAATTAATGCTATTTCCAGTATTTTTATATAACTGCAGAAAATGAACAAAATGCCCTGTAGGG